TAAGCGCCTGTGGTGCCAAAAAGTTAAGAATGGAAAATGTCTTAGTTTCAAAAGCATGTATACATATACTTCAAGCTGAGCTTTCCACCTGTGATTTCTTCACAGTGACCGGTTTCTCACACCTTCAGTTAGCAATATCACAAAATGTATATCTGATCCAGTGTAGGCTTAATACCAGGATCACTGATTCTGTTATCAATATCTGTATCTTTTACTTTTGAAAGTGGAACTTAAGGGTGACTATGTCATGATTTTTGAGGTAAAAGCATAATTAATAGGCTATTTCTGAACATATTTTCATTACCATCTAATGATTTGCCAAACATTAAGTGTTTTTACTATTTTCTGTTGATCGAATGAATGTTACAACATACATTTTTTGTAAATATAACCATTTTTTCATTGGTGCAATGAACTTGCAGGCACAAACAACTCTCTGCAATTATGGTTCCGCTGTCTGCTGCAACTTGAAGGTGCATTTATTTTTGTCTCGTGTAGCACGAGTGAGCAGTGCAGTTTATATCACAGTACCTTGAACTATTCATGGTTGATATAACCATGTTACATGCACAAGGGTTTTCTGCTGAGTGTGAAACATAGAGTTGTTACAACAGCTGATACTATATTTATTTAAAACTGGTGAACATCTCAGTGAACCATAAAGTAGGTGTTTCCAGAGCTCTAACTGTCTTCATCAGTGGATGGAGTTGTCCTCACATGACTTAAGTGTGCTAGTGGGTTCTGCTTGAATTGAGTTTTTCCAAGGCCAACAATGCACTCCCTTGCTCAGTATTTTGTTTTTATCCATGAATACTTTAAAAACTTTAAAAGAAAGCATGCACAGATCTTTTCAGCTTCTTTTACAGTGCACTGTAATTATTCAGTCTCTGGCCTTGAACCTGTGTCTGATTTGAAGCTCTGTGCAAACTTCACCTCATTGCAGACAGGTCAGTTAAAAGGAAACAGATGATGTCATTTCCCCCCCTACACTTCATGTTATAGCCTTGAGTGAATAAAAGAATGTGAGTCAGGCATGATGGCTCAGCATGAATCAAAAACAAGGGTGGTCTAGTCTTTCTCTCCTCCACGTTCTCTTAGTCTGTCTGTCCATAGCATCCAGGTCTTGAACATTTAGATTTGTAAGATTTAGGGTCATCGTGCTTGTCCTAGTGTGTGAGGTATTTGCATTTAGCTGTGGAACAAGGGTACTAAAGGTTTCTAAGTGGGTGAAACAAACAGTTGAATTTTAATAGGGCCCATTTTTGAGTCAAAAGTGCAACTGCAGATTGGACTGCTCTCCTTTTCTCTGCTGCTGATTGGAGCACAAAGAGCATTCCTCAGCTGTGAATCAGAGACTAAAGGTCACCGATTCAACTTCAAATTAGCACTAGACCCTCTTTGATTCGAGGGCCTCTCCCATGTTTGCACACATATATAAAGAAACACAATGTAATACCAATCCCCTGCAAAGAGACCCCCCATTTATTTAGGAATTTTCATAATCTAGTCTAAACCCTGAGCCTCTTCTTACTGTTATGTCTGGGACTTTCCAAAGAAAGTCAAATCCCCTGATGCTGCTCTACCTCCCTGTTGTTTTAAGAACATTTAGACCAAGAATGTAGAGGGCACTACCTTAAGGCACACTACACCATGTAAAGATAGTGCCTATTTCCCTGCACCGTGGAGGTGTGTGCACCTGACTAAATGCCAACAGGCTCTCCGGTGGCTTAAGGAGAGCAATGTTAAGTCATCGTGCAATAATATTGTTTTTAGTTCATGTATGATCAGGTTCACAGTGACCTCTGTGGTTGTCCATTTCCATCTCTGTAGCTCTTCAGATTTCAAAGTGTGTGTGTGTGGATGATTCATGTGAAAGCTGAGAGACTGCCTGCCAGGTAGGTTTTGTTTGGGGAACACTGAAAGGGTTCTTGACATGAATTTATAATGTCTTCAGCCCAAACCTTTTGGAAGATGATGCAGATGGGTCAGACAAGCTCTGTTTGAAATATGTATTACATCCAGATGAAGGCTTCCGGCTGTATCCCAGTAGAATTTCCCTGGGTGGCAAGACAACATATACTGTAATACTGTGTGCCATAGTACTCATGCAGCTGATCTTAATTTGTTATCATATCTGCAGTGTGGCTCTTGGATTTATTTCTAGATTGTCTTGAGTTTATGAACAGACTGATTTAAATGTACAAAAGGAGCACTGATTCCATTTAATGGAGAAATGTAAATTACAGTTTTACAGTCTCACCTCAAGCTTCTACTGAATGCAGACAAAAGTTAATGTTATATTACAACTCAAGGGAAGAAAATAGATGTTGTTATATGTTATAAATATCTTGGTTTGTGGTATGAGCAATGTGTTTTTAGGGAACATGTCAGAAGCTTTGTGAAAAAAATTAAGACTGAAGTTAGAGTTGTATTTTAGACACCAGACTTGGTTTCATTTGGAAGCCAGGAAAAGGCTGGTCACTGACACATTTTTACCATTTCTTGATTATGGTGACATGTTAAAGATGAATATATCTCTATCACCTCATATCTTTGCAAACTTTTTTTTACAGATTTTGTCTTTCAGTCATAATCTTAGATCCCCAAACACATCTGCTCTCTGCTGTCTGATGAAAATAAGTCTTAGCGACACCTGAACTTTTTTCTACTATGACAAGCCACAATGTCTGCTGTGGAAAAGGCATACCATCAACCATTTCTCAAATGTGTATGTTAGTATTTGCAGTCTCACAACTGTAATCAATTTTTCAGTCCATTCAGTTACTAACTTCAAATAAATAAAAACTGCAATTATTTTAGGCTCCAGTTAGTAGTTTCATATTAATTGAAACCTCAAAAGTCAGAACATAAACTACTGGTCAGTTACTCCATTTCTTTTCCTCCAGCCCTAAACTATAGGGCTGTGGTGAAGTCTGTACCTACTGTCCTACATTTGTCCTACATTTGTCCATTCATCCCTTCGTGTCCTTGTGCAACACTGCCACCTGCAGGTGTAGATTTTCAAGGTGTGAACAGCCCCAGATAAAATAATCTGTTAAACATGCCCTAACCAAAAAGTGATAAACAAAGATGATTAAAGTTGAATTCTGGCACACTTGAAATGTTACTTTACTTATTATATAATGAGTGAAAACATTATCTAGTATAATAGGATTTTTCATGCCCTGTTAACACCATGCCATTTTGTAACCACTGTCAGTGCTTTTAACCAGTTTACCAGCACAGTATTTAAGTCTCTCACCGTATTCGCCACCCCCCGTTTGCACCATGGCAACCTCCACATCACACTGTCACTGTTGGAGTGTGATTTCATACAGTCAGCTGTGAATAACTTCAAAAATGTAGAACAAAGCAGCACAGCTACAGATGCCAGGCTCCATCTGCCACTGGATCACCAGCTATTTGACAGACACACACAGAACCTCATCGCAGGTTTCTCTTAGCCCTGCTACATCATGCACTTGCATACTCCACCAAAGCCCCAATCTGTCAGACTTCTTAGCTTGGTAGCTCACACCACCCTGAGAAACACCTTAAATAAAGACACGTGCTCTCTCAGAGGCACGCTGCATCTGATGTTAAGGCAGAGTCAGAATAAAGCCTCTTCAAACACATGAACGATAAGAGACTTCAATAAAAAGTGCTCGTCTGACCTTATCAAAGATTCTTTTTTCTCTAACCATTAGTGTCAGTTATTGAAATTTCCTGAGATGTGCCAGGACCTCAGGCAGAATGAGAAGCTCACTGACACAGCAGCTCATGTACTTCAAATGCTGGTGCAGTCTCCCTGCAGTGGTTAAATTCAGTAGGGCAACTGTAGCTGTTAAAATGGCCTCTTAAGATCCCAAGCACAAGCATCACTGACAGCTTTTAGCACCCTCACTGGCACCTAGCATACAGTTACTGTATGTTTCTGTAATGGTCAAGAATACTTAACTTAAGAATTATGTGCATATTCATTTTAGCTCATACAGCACGGCAACATATTGCATTAACTGGATTAATGAGTCATGAGTTTTTAACTGATAAGATATAGTGTTTGGCTGGATTACATCTATTGGCCCTCGTCTGTACATTACAACAATGCCCATATGCAGCAGAAATATATCAAAATAACCCAGTTCAACAGCACCACAAACTAATATTTACATTGGCTATTGAATTGCATTGTTGAATATTTTTAGAATTGTAGAAAGTATTAGCCTACATTTCCATATAGCTGCAATACACTGTACTGTATACCTGCAGTCATCATATTTTATGTTTCTGTAGAAGAATGACAATAAAAATATGTTGTGCAAAGCATCCCTTTCATATTAAACCCAAACAATGGCATACAAATATCTAAATACATAAATAATCTAAAATAAATATATTGTTAAAGATATACAATATATGTTAGCATGTAAATGTATCTTATTCAAGTGGCACTTGTATAAAATTTTGAGAAAATATTGAGGTGGCACTAAAAAAAAAGGCTACATAGCACAGAGGAATTTTAGGCTATGCAAATTCACATTTCCTTGCTTGATCGTAATTGGATATTCACATGAGATCAACCATAGAGTCATTAATTACGAGTCAAGTGTGTGGTTTGCTTAAACATAAACATTAACCATTAGCTGATTAGCTGATAAAGGTTTCATTTATGTCCTGCACATCATATTTTCCATTTTTAGAATCATAGTCTTGATCTGTAATTTAATTTAAATGTCAAGATTCTAGGTGGCAAAAGATTCTGCAAGTGGTTATAATTCTAGGTGTCCTTTGTGCTTGTCATACACTTGAACCAACACTTCTCTAAAACAGTGTCAAGTTAACACTGTCAACAAAAACTGTTTACCAAACAAACTGCCAACTGAGTGTAAAAGAACAAACAGAACCAGGATAAAATGTCGCCGAATGTGGCTCAGTTTACTGATAAGAATATATATGTGACTCCTTGATCTGAAAAACCTTAGACACATTCAGTTTTTAAATGCCGCATTGCTCAGTAGGCTTGTGTCACTGTACCTTTATATAGAACCAGGTTCTAGTGCGCATGCGCCCGCTGTGTTTATTTTTTTCTAACCTGAGGAACTGTGTCGCTGCGCTAGCAAACCCATCTCTGTCAGCTCTTACAATTTGAGACCGACGGTGGTGTCTTTCCCCTCACTGGAATACAAGAAAACGCTGCTTTACAGTGCTATCTACGACTGCAAGTGCTTGAATTGGCTTGGGAGAAGACCAGTAGGATTAACAGCAGTTCAAAGTGGTTGCTCGATGCCCCCCAGTCGGCAGGAATAGCCAGGTCCCACATCCCACCACATCCATGTTGACTGCGGCAGTCTTCGCACTGGGTCCAGGGCTACACACACCGCAACCCCTTTGTTCTTCTGTGGATAAATTCCGGATAAATTGGTGCGGCTTGTGGAAGAACCATCGCATGTTACAATGTAAATCCCTGTTTCAGTTTGAAGGATTGTTTACGTGTTAAAATGGCTGCTGAAATGGCATTTGGAAGAGAATGGTCTTGAGTCAACGCAGTAACGTTACATTACTTAGCGGAGGCCAAACTCCAAATAAGCTAGTTAGGCTAACTAATTATGTGCTAGTTGGGCAGAACATTAAACGAATTGGCGGCTTAAATAGCTTCTATAGATGGTCGCCTTTTGTGGCAACGCTAGGTTCTTCCAACAAGAGGTAGGGTGAAGGGAATTCCATCCACTCCGAGTCTATGCATGCGGTTAACCAAGCAGATTGTAAAAACATTTAGCTAACGTTAACTAACAGTGCGTTTCTCTCTGTCCAAAGCTTTGTAAGCTGGCGTAACCAACCTTAAGCCCCTATGTGAATATGCATAACGCCCAACAAATATGCAGGACTTCTTTATTATAATATAAACTGCCTAGGTTACCGAGGCTTTCTCAAAAAGACCTAAGGCCCCAGTTTTTTTACTCGGATTAGTCGACCTGGAGAAAAACCATGAATCCCAGCGGGATATGTAAGACTAAACTCTTTGTTTTTGGACCAAAACTAGCCACCCACAGTGATCTGCGGGGTACCAACAGATACTTGGTGGTGTTTGTTTTATTTTACTTTGTATTGTTCACTTACGCCTCCCCGGCGAAACCTTGTGACAAGAATTGTCTTTCTGGAAAATGCATAAACGGATCCTGTATCTGTGACCGAGGATGGGTTGGAGACCAGTGTCAGCACTGCCAGGGGAGATTCAAGTAAGTAGACGTGCACGAAACCTTTGGCTCCACTGTCATCTGTGGCCATCATCATATTACTTGTAGGGTCAGCAATGTTTTCAGCATTGTCATGAGTTCTGAAATATTCAGAGTCAACCAAAAGAAGCTTGGGATCACATTTGACCCATGAGTTAATATTTGTAGAGCTCACTGGCAGCCAGAACACAGACCTGTGTGCAATGGGAAAAATGTTTGCATGGCAGCAACAAAATCATTTTACCATTTGTCTAGTTAATTGTTTGTAATGTTTCTGTTTACACACAAGACATAAAGTATTAACCACATTCACGATGTGTATTTTCTCTTATGTTTTAAGTTTATTTCATGTGTTGTTCTTGCCCATATAAGAAAGCATTTGATACTATATATCAGTGAGACGAGTAAATGAATGAGTGACCCTGCGCGGTCCAGTCAGCATATGTGAGCATGATCCAGACAGCCACACTCTGCCGTGCACTTTCATATTGATTTATAGCCTGATGTGTCTGTGCCGATTCCCGATCAAACCCTCAAACAAATTCATTCCATTTGCTTTTCCAGAAAAAAAAAGAAGCTTTCAGTGGCTTTGAGGAAACATCTGCAAATAATTGATGCTGCATATGCTCTGAACCCTATGTGGTCAGAAAATAAATGTCTTTTGTTCCTAAATTGGAAGAATATGCCTGTTGATCAATACAGATGTATGGACACAGACAGCTCCCCAAAACAAGCAAATGGGTAGTGCTAAAGAAAAACACAGGGAGCAATGGTAAAGTGTCCAAAATAAACTATTTCAACTTTTGTTTAATGATGATAATAATGTTGATATTGACTGTGACACTTGTCGGGGGCTTTCAGTCACCTGAGATGCTCTCTGTTGTACAGAAGTGCCTTGATCATAGTGTCTGAGGTCGGGATTTTCTTCAGGAATGTTGCCAGGGAATAACCTCCCATCACCTGGAGACAACCTTCTGAAAATGAGCACCTCTTAGCATCTCTGTAGTCAGTGGAATAGAGATGTGCACCCTGGTTAATACATGATCGATTATAGATCACTGCCAAGCAACATTATTGCATAACAAATGTGAAATCCTGTCTTGAACATTGTGTGACTTTAAATATGGAAAGACTGGGACATTAGAATAGTGTGGATTCCAGGAGCACACAGAGTCTTGATATGTTTACAGACAGACAGGATAGTATTTCCTACGGAGGGCCAAAGTGCAGCATGAAAAATTAATCTTTCCTGAATGTCTGTACAGCCTTAACTCATTGGTGTTTGCATGTGTTATATCATAAATGTTTGCCTTTATCAGTCAGTTAAACATCAGTAAATTAATCTGTTGTTTTACCTAAAGGCATCTTTTACAACACATGCTTTCAGGATGTGAATAGTAAAGAACAAAACAATGCTTGGGTAAATGCTTTAAGGTACACTTCAACACTTCAACCCATTTTCCTGTCAAAACGTTTGATTTGGTTCTTATATCATGTTATTCATTTAAAACAATTGTCAGGAGGAATGTAAAAGGGAATAGTATTAAGTTCCTGTGTTTCTCAGACCACTGGTGAGCGCCCAGCATGTAGTAGTAAAGCTTCCAAAGTCAGAAATACAAAGAACCAGGGCTGCAGTCTTTCTGTGGTGTCATAAAAAAATAAGGCCTGAACATTATCAACAGACAGGTGTTCTGTGGGTTCATGAAATGTTTGTCTCAATTTTGACAGCCAAAGAAGTTTTCTCAAAGTACAAGAAGATGCATGGCTGTGTCGAGAAAACGTTTATGATCTTTTTCACCTCGTTCTGCGATTGTGCAGCTTTGTGGGTGGGATTTGTACAACTCCTATTTCCTATGATGTGAGACTGTGATGATATTTGAAAGTCATCTGTCTTTGTCACACACTACTATGGTATTTTGTGTGAAGAATATTTAGTTCAAAATTGTTCCCCCTGTCAGACTGGAGACATGGGCAGAACCGAGGCAGAGGAACCTTTTCAGGAGACAGATGATTGAATCTTTTGGTTGGCAGGGACTGACCTTCAGATGACTTTCAGCCTTTGTCTGCTTATCTGGAATCATGGGAATTGAATGCAGCATGTCACACTATAATTGGACACCTGAGTCCATACTTATAAGAGACATTGTGCCAGGACAAGTGGTCTGCCCAGAAAATGTTTTCTTGTCAGGTGTTGTTTTTAAAAAATTCTAGATTTGTGTGTTCTGCAACGAACTGCAGCTATTCTCTGTTAACTTGAAACTACTAAAATTTTGTGATGCTTTATGAAGGCCATTATTTATTTGCAAACTGTAGAATCCAGAGAGCTTCAGTTGTGTCACTGAAGATGCACATAAATGTTTGTTTTAATCCATCTTTAGATCTTTTCATAGTAATAGTACTACTGGTTCTGAACTACAGGTTTTCTCCCAGGCTAGAAAATGTTTTTATTTTTGAAGTGGTTTGATCACTGACCACTGATATAGGGCTGTTTCAGGGACATTAAAACCAGGGAGTACTGTGTGGAAAGATTTTCACACCTGAAACAAGGTTTGAGATCATGTTTTTTGATGAATGGCAACTTATATCCATCTGCCTGTCCTACTACCACTAGCCTATCACTTTCTGGTGTGAGCTTACCGTTCAACATGAAGGAGTACTGTATGTTGCTTCCATAGTCTGAAACCCAGCAGGTTAATAGAGGTGACCCACAGGTGGCTGTCTGGCTGTATGTTAGCTCTGTCCAGGCTCTAGTCCTCAGCACCAGCGTAAGCTACAGCCCTCCCAAACCCCGATCCATAGTATAGTTTCTATAAGCATAGCATGTAGCAAGCAGCATAATTAGATAATTTCTTGTGGTCAAGAATATTTCTAATTTAGTGGTTTTAACTTGGAATGCTACGTTCCTAATTGAAAAGTCACCTCAAGTTGATCTTGAGTCAAAAGCAAAGCAGTGACAAATAAGTTGTCACAAAACTTCAACGTAATAAAACCCAACAAGTTTTGCCATTAATTATTAATGGTGTATACACACATACCAATCAGTTAATGGTCAGGAGAGGGGTTGGTTTGATTCAAATGTTTTCTTTTAATGGTTTTTTTATTTTCTTGGCTTTAAATTGTTTACCTGAGGCAACATATTACTGTGCTGACTATCCCTAAATCTTGTCATCTTTCAGGTTGGTGGAGCCTTCAGGATACCTCACTGATGGTCCAATCAACTACAAGTACAAAACAAAGTGCACCTGGCTCATTGAGGGCTAGTAAGTGGTCTTATAAATCAGTATGTTCTAATGAAGCAGAGTGCTGCACAGCCAAGTTCAGTTATGCAGTGTAATTAAAAAACATTCAGCATCTCTGTTCAAGGAAGTGTACTTTTGTTGCTTACACAGTTGAATGTAAAGCTGGGCCAGGTGTCTGATGAGCTGGAGTTTTACTGGTCCATTTTAATAGTTGGCAGTCATTCAGACAGAGGATGAATCCCTGCACTTGGTTGTAATTGTCACTGCTGCTACGGTCACCATAAGGGCAGAGCTGTTTGGAAACTTTACTACCGGGATGGAAACAGTTAGTGGCCTATCATCCTGGGGTCCTAAAATAAAGAATGATTTCATTGCATTAAAATGTTTTACAACATACTGAGCAGCATGCTTCAAAGTAAATTGGTTTGTTTTCTTCTTCTGTTATCTTCTGGATAATGATAATTCATGTACAATGTGGTCATGTTTTTGGAAAATCTAAATATAAATGAGGCAGTTTATTAGGTTTATGGTTCAGAGTGTATGACACCAAGAGGACAATTAAACAGAATCCATCAAAAAAAAAAGTACTGCTGGGCAGTGATCTGAAGAATGTGAATAATATGCTGTTCAGATGTTCATCTGTCAGGTCTAAACCATTTTGTGTTTTTTTCCCCCTCTGCAGTCCAAATGCTATTCTTCGGTTAAGATTTAACCACTTTGCCACAGAATGTAGTTGGGACCATATGTACGTCTATGATGGAGACTCGGTATATGCTCCTCTGGTTGCTGTTTTCAGGTGAGAGGGGAGTGAGTTGAACTTGAGCTAGATCCAAATTATTGAGACTGACTATACTGATGTCTTGTAGTGCAGTACATCAAAAGTGTGGGCTGTGACTGTGAAGACACAAATCTGTTCAGTATAAAACAGCAAATATATTTTGGTTGTCCAAAATATTTCCAAAACTCCTTATTTATTTATTGTTTGGAGTTGAGAGAAAGTGATGCCAGTGAATCTTTTGCTTTTGTCTACAGCGGCCTTATTGTGCCAGAGATACGAGGAAATGAGACAGTTCCTGAGGTTGAGACGACATCAGGCTATGCACTACTACACTTTTTCAGCGATGCTGCCTATAACCTGACAGGATTTGAAATATTTTACTCGTAAGTATCCAGGCTCTACATGAGAAGTAAACCATAATATTAAAACCTTACACTGTTTGTATTTTTAGTGCCTGATTCCTTGCCAGGAACCAATTCTACTGGGGTTGTGTTTTAGGCCGTTGTCTGTGTCGATGTCTTTAATTTATTCTAAACTACAGTGGACTGATTTTATGTCTCCTGGCTGTTGGTGGGCGGTAATAGGTTGCTGTGTCCTACATTTCAGTAACAAAAAGTGATACATGTGCTTTTCTGTAGGACTTAAATCCTACAGCAACAGCCACTGTTAATGACAAGTGAGCAGCTCAATAGTTTTACATATATTAACAGCCTTTTTACCCTACTCACCTGTGCCAGGAGCTGCTTGATACTTCATTAATCTTCCTTAGTTCCCAAGGAAAAGTCTCTGTGCAGCCTTAAATAGTACAGACAGTGTTGGCTGACTAAAAACATCTTCCTGTCCAGGATCAACTCTTGTCCTAATAACTGCTCTGGCCATGGGAAGTGCACACCTGGGAACTCTGCCGCCAGCAGAGTGTACTGTGAATGTGACAAGTACTGGAAAGGCAAGGCCTGTGACATCCCCTACTGTAGGAACAACTGCGGCAGCCCTGACCACGGCTACTGCGACCTCACTGGGGAGAAGCTGTGTGTTTGCAATGACAGCTGGCAAGGTAAGAGTTAGCTTTGTCCAAACCCTGCAGGTGCTCTGAAACACTGAGCCTGTTTAGAATGGATCGAGTAGAAACAGGCAGGATTAGGCTGCGTTTTCAGGCAGCACATAAGTGCATATGTACAGAAGTTATTTTATTATGTGCACTTAAGAAAGGATTTTTACAAGTTTAATGATGAAACTACTTAACAAGTAACAGATAAATATAGTAGGCAGATATGTAGTCATTAGCAGGATTTAAACACAGAAGTGGCCAAAACTGCTTTCACAACAACATAATAGAGCATTACCAGGTGTTATCTGACTGCAGTGGTTGGCACTGTCGCCTAACAGCAAGAAGGTTCAAAGGTTTGAGCCCTAGCCAACCTGGGGCCTTTCTGTGCAGTCTGCATGTTCTCCCTGTGCCTGCATGGGTTCTCTCCAGGTTCTCCAGCTTCCTTCTACCATCCAAAGACGTGCAGCTCAGGTTGATTGGTGACTCTAAATTGCCCGTAGGAGTGATTTTGAGTGTGTGGTTGTCTGTCTCTAAGTATCAGCTCTGTGATAGACTGGCGACCTGTCCAGGGTGTACACTGCCTCTTGTCCAGTATCAGCTGGGATTGGCTCCAGTTATTGTACAGTAATTCAACCGCAGTGGTGAATATGGGCTGACCTCAAGAGAGCCCTTCACACCAGACATCCTAAGAATATGGCAGAGCTGAAGCCGTTGCGTGAGGAAGAATGGTCCAGAATTGCTCCTGAGCATTGTGCAGGTCCACAGCTACAGGAAGTGCTCCCTTGACCTAAAGGTGGTTCAACCAGTTATTAAAACACTGGTGTCATTAGTTTTTCCACCATCCTTTTGTATGTTTAATGGGTGTGTTTAATAAAGAGATAACTATCACGACTGTTTTATCAGCTTAGAAATACAGTTTTTTGATATTTGTGACTTTGGTGATGATCAGATCACATTTCCTAACCAGTGTATGCAGAAAACCAGGAAATTGCAAACAGTGGCCATGACTTTTTCTTGCAGTTGTATTTATTTGGTGGTTTTGTAGAGCTATTTTTTTTTTTTTTTTTTTTTTGCCTCACAACTGTGGAAAGACGCTAGAAAATCAGAACAAAACAACAGAGTTCCAGCAGCTGTGATGCTTGGACGGTTAATAATAAGAATGTATGAAGTGTCCCCCAGATACCTCTGTGTTTGCCACAAACACCAAGTCATACAGTATGCAACACACTTTTGCAATCACAGGATGTATATGTTGCTGCCGCCCCTCCCATGTGCACTGTGGTGATTATGCAGTAAGACTTGATGATCAATCTGTTAGTGGGCAAGTGTGAGCAGCTGTGTTGTGTTGTGACATAATGTTGATTGGTAACACGTTGGTAAGCCTTGTGACAGTGTGTAATTATGTGTCTCCAAGTGGAAGGAACTAAATGCTTTCACGTGATGTGACAGAATCATTAGCAAAGGCATGAGCTTTTTTTAGCGCAGCTTAACATATGAATATATGAATACCTCCCTGCCTGTTGTGTTCATTTAATGAGTGTTCATGATTTTATTTTGGCTTGAGTGTGGTATGTTTGCCCTTCAAAGTATTTATGAGTATGTATGAAAACATTTGTCAGCTGCTGAAAGATGGTCAACCTCAGATAAATGTAGTTTTTTTTTTTTTGCTTTGAAATAGTGGAGCTATGAAGGAGAATTATCTTTAATTTGGAGATTTTGAAATGAAGAGCTGACGTTTATTTTTAACATGTGCCTTGTGCTGTGATGTTTTTTCTCACCCTGTCTTGTAGGCCCAGACTGCTCTTTAACCGTACCTTCAACTGAGTCCTTCTGGGTCCTACCAAGTGTCAAGCCCTTTGGCACATCACTCACCAGGGCGTCCCATAAGGCTGTGGTGCAGGAAAAGGTCATGTGGGTGGTGGGGGGATACACCTTCAACTATAGCTCCTTCCAGATGATTGTCAAGTAAGTCACCGCTTAGGTACAGTATGTCCCAAGGGACTGATTGTTCTTGATAATCTGTTTGTGGTTCTAAAATAACTTGTTCTGTTCGCTGTGTACTGGAGATCAATCACCAAAACACCAGTACAAGGGCTGTAGTGACAGCAGCAGCCTCTGGTTAAGTCCACACCTTATCTTTACTTTGAATGAATATCTAAGCAATGACTATTTAGAGGAAGTGCTGACAAGCTGGTCATGGGATTCCCGTGAGAAAAACCTAACTGAGTGTTAGGGTTTTGTCAGAACTGGCAAGTGTGGGAGTTAAGGTTTCAGTGGTGTGTGTGCTGTGGATTTATACAGTAGGTTGTACATTCACTTAGATAAATTTGGCATTTAGTATAGTTGGATGATTCTGCAGATAAAATGCGGAACTAACTTTTGTCTTGAGTCATGTCCTGGCATGGGGCCAGCTGACATACCTCTTCCTCGTTGCTCAGACAAGCTCTCTCCATCTTCTCAGTGTTTGCACTCAGTGTGCCAAACCTCTAGGTTTAAAGTGACACTTTTTAAAACTAGATTTTCTTAATTTCTTTGACATAAAACAATCAATCTGCTGTTAAAATGTAATGTCCTTTTGCTTGCTTTGCAGCTACAACTTGGAGAGTAGTATCTGGAACACAGTTCCCATCAATAGTGGCCCTGTGCCAAGATATGGCCACTCACTTGCAGCCTACCAGGTAAACACACACTCACAGATTTGGCTTTTGTAAAGAAGGAATTTAGGAAAACACAAATGTTATTAGGCAGTAGGGAGAACAAGGTGTGGTGGAAAGCATCAGTAAGAATTTCCTCACGCAAAAGGAAACCACAACTGGGACATTGCTTATTTTTTTTCTAAACACACGTCATTCTTAAATAACTAAATGTTGTAATATGCTTCAAGCATTTAGTCGAGTCAGGGATTCTTTCCCATGACCATATTTTCATAATAATTAGCAGAAAAACAGACAGTTTCAATATTAGAAGTCTGACATATTCCCTCTTTTATTATCAGCAAGCTTTAATGGATTGTGACTCTATAAACTGAACTAAGTAGAGTTTCAGCTCAACACAAGCTTGTTTGAAAGGCCCAATTAACATGATGGTTTTCATACTCTGTAGCTTTTTGTTTCACTTTTATTACAGCATGTGACAGCCGCTCTGCATGCTTGGTTAATATGGTTACATTGGGAAACACACTGAGACCAGTGTCTCCTCTCCTCTCAGGATGATATCTACATGTTTGGTGGGAAGCTGGAGGCCGGCTGGGGGAACGTGACAGATGAGCTGTGGGTGTTCAACGTACCCGGTCGGACGTGGCAGCGGAGAAACCCCGTGGTCGGCCCACCTGCTCAGGCTCAGATTTACGCGGTGGAGGGACACTCGGCCCACTGCGTCCTGCTGGAGGGCGGCGAGGCCATCATGCTGGTCATCTTCGGCTACTCCCCCATTTACAGCTACATCAGCAACGTTCAGGAGTACAGCCTGAGTGAGTCACAGCTTTTGTAGCAGGCATCTTGGCAATGTAGGATTTAGACTGTTAGCCACACTGTTAGTTTTTTTTTCCTCTCCCATCACATGGCATTTGTTACATTGATGAAAAAGGTGTCTACATAACATAAGTTAAACACAGCTTGTTGATGTCCATCTTTAATAGGTGTATGAATGAAATGCATTTAAAAATGTGTATAGAATTCATTTCCAGCATAACAAATTCTGTAATAAAGCCTTCACATATGTGCTTTCCTCTCAGGATCCAACACATGGCTGGTACCAGAGACCAAAGGTGCCGTTCCCCAGGGAGGTTACGGCCACAGCAGCACATATGACAATGCCAGCGGCAGTGTGTATGTCCATGGAGGCTATAAGGCACTACCTGCCAACAAATACGGCCTTGTTGACGACCTCTACCGCTACGATGTTAACACACGGACATGGTAAATCAACACATTTTATTTTATTTCAGTTTGTGTATATGGCACTCTGTCATGTGTTTTTCTTGTTAGCTTATCCTTGACACACTTGTCATGCATATGTTTCAGGTTCATCCTGAGGGAGAGTGGCTTTCCACGGTACTTGCACTCAGCTGCGCTCCTCAGCGGCACTCTACTCATCTTTGGTGGCAACACACACAACGACACATCACTCAGCAACGGTGCCAAGTGTTTCTCTGCTGACTTCCTTGCCTATGACATCGGTAGGACTCATGCTCCAGTTTGAATGATGACCTCTGCTTCAACACCCCTCGAGTGTGGTTCTTTGGATTTATGTGTGGTTGAAGTGCTTTAGCACATATCTCCATGTTGAATTGTTTTAAATAGCAACTGTTGGGTAAAATTATTAACAAGGCATACTTTAAGGTTGATTCTAATATTTTATGAATTAAAAACTTAATTAGTAGAAGATTAACATTATGCCTTGTTACAACTAATGAGGTTTTAAGGGCTAAAGTTAAGTAAATTGCAGATGATTTTTTTTTTCTCTCCTTTTCATTATCATCATCTTCATAACTATCCACTTCATTCTCAACAAAACCAGTAATGGTAAAAGAAGGTATAATACAAATAAAAGATAGCACTTTTTATATAATATAAATTTAGAAAAAACACACAGCAATTAACATGTAAACACACAGACAAACTAAATACTCTCTTTCATTTGGTCTCCTTCCTGTTCTCCAGCCTGTGATGAGTGGAGGCTCCTGCCTAAACCAGACCTGCACAGGGATGTCAACCGCTTTGGACACTCTGCAGTGGTCAGCAATGGGTGAGTCTTTCTAATGGTCTCCACTCAGGCTAAGACACACTGGACAGGTGCTTCATCCAGTGAAATCATCTTTCATATATGTTTGCATTCAAATGGCATTAGTTCCTTTGAACAATATTCACAGTGTACATTATTTTTTAGTACAGTTTGAATCCCTCTAAGTCGGTAATCTTGGCAACGGTACTGTTTCATTTGGCTGGATGTGCTAGCTGCCATACCGGGTGACCTCTATGTCACCCCAGAAATCTTAACTTGTGAAGGCAATATGTGACTAAACATTCTAGCTAGAACTGGACAAAATATCCCTTGAAACAAAAGTTGAACATAATCCATTTAAAATTTTAGTACTTTTTGTGGCTTCTTTTCAGACACAGAAGAGTTAAAATCTATAAAGGCTACTATAATAGAACTGTCAGCTTAATCTTTAGTTTGGATCTTTTTGTTTACCCTGTGTTCTCCTGACCTTTCTTTTCCAGGTCCATGTATGTGTTCGGGGGCTTTTCCAGCGTGCTGCTCAATGATGTGCTTGTTTACCGACCTCCAAGCTGCCAGGCCTTCTTGGCAGAGGAGGGCTGTGTGAAGGCTGGGCCAGGGGTCCGTTGCATCTGGCGCAGAGGACGCTGTGTCCCCTGGGAACCCAGCATGGCTAATGGGAGTCTCACCCCTGCCCCATTCTGCCCCCCTAAAGCTGGTGAGAAAGACATCCAGACCAGACCTTTCTGCATACCTGTCAGGGCTCTAACTTCTGGTTAATTCCAAATTACCTTTAATACCAAATCTTCATATTCCATTCAATCTGCTCTTTCTCACCCCACCCTCAAAGAAACAACACAGGCAGTCTCTCTCTATCTGATTTCTATACCTAAAGAACACATAAATACCAAAGAACATTTGGACTAAATACAAACACATACTCATTCCTGCGCTTTACCGTCCCTTTCCTGTATTTCTTTTTAGTCACAGTGGACGAGTGGTGCTACCGGTTCTCAGACTGTGCCAGTTGTACAGCCAATACCAATGGGTGCCAGTGGTGCGATGACAAGAAGTGCATCTCAGCCTTCAGTAACTGTACCTCTGTGAGTTGTCCAGCAGGGGGCATCAGAGCGCTACTTGTTTTGTGTTCAGCTGCAGACACACACAAAAACATGTGGTTTTTCTCAACATTTTGTGAACTGGGGATATTGAGAAGATAACAGATTATTAATAATGTTATGTACATAGTGATACCAGTACTCATACACATACTGTCCTCACCGCATGTTGCTCATAGAGGACTCCTCTGCATCATAGTACAAACAGGACTGTTTTTATGGTGTGCATTTACTGAACAAATGAACACTTACTGACCTATCATAAATGTAACACTTCTGTTAACCGTCTCCATGCCTTTCCTGTTCTCTCCCCTCCTGCTGTAGAACGTGAAGAACTTCACTCAGTGTCCAGTGCGGAACGAGCAGGTGTGCAGCAAGCTTGCCAACTGCAAGAGCTGCTTCCTGAATCTCAACTGTCAGTGGGACCAGAATCAGTCAGAGTGCCACGCTTTTCCTGGTAGGAAAGACACTGAAAGTCCACACACAAGATAAATGTACTGCTTTCTTTTTTTTAGGGTTTGTTGCTGTATGTATAGAGCTTAGGAATGCACAGGATTTGTATCTCTGAGATAGGAATCAATGAGAGTGAGAACTTCATAACACAAAACAGTCACTTACTTTGTGAGATGGTGTTGTGTTCCCTCACTGATTTTTACTCGTATGATTTTGACTTACCTGACCATCTTAAACAATGGTACAATGCAATGACAATGCATTTAGTCGGTGCCACTTTAGTAATAATTCTCAGCTCAAGAAGCCTTGTCGCCTAAGGGTTTGTTGTCATCGTGGGAGCTGCACATCATATCTGTGTGTGTGTGTTTCTGATGCCTCAAAATATATATTTATGTGAAGCAATAAGTAACAGAATATTTAGTTTTTGACAATCACTCTGTCTCTCCTAGTGTGGATTACACCCCTGCTAAATCTGAGATATACACACACACACACACACACACACACACGAGGCCCTAAATCTAAGCGCTAAGCCATCTTGGTTTGGACAAAAGCTGATTTCCAGCAGTGTCCTTTCATCCCCATGTTATTTACTTGCTGCCTTTTTCCCCCCTTTTGTAGTATGGTGCTATTGAGCAGTATTTAATTAAAGTTTCTGATTTAATTCTTTTTCTTACAAATGTAAGGAGATAAAAAGTGGACCAATGTTTTTAGTAATATCTAACACTGTCGCCCTGTCCTCAACCCTCACTCTTTCTTTCCTCCAGCCAAACAGTGCAGTGAGGGTTGGAGTCTGGTGGGGGAGGCCTGTCTGAGGATCAACACCAGTCGTGAGAGTTATGACAATGCCCAGCACTACTGCAAGAACCTCAACGGAAACATAGCTTCACTCACCACCTCCAAACAGGTGGACTTTGTGCTTGAGGAGCTCAAGAAGCTCCAGCAACAAGACAAGGTGAATATGAGTTAATAAGTGAAACAGAGGCGCTGGAGTTGCAAAATGCTCCAAGTAAGATATATTGTTCTGGTCATGTGTTGTTGTGGGTCACACCTGTAGTGCTAGATTTATTCTTGGGTGTTCAGATTACGGCTTGATGTTTTGCTGAGAGGAGGCAACAGGTTTGTAGCTAGTTGAGCCTGTCTGGAACTCTGAGTTCTGCAGTCTGGGATGATTTTCTCCTGATCACTTCTGTACTTGTGTACTGCTCCTGTGTAGTCTGATTGCGGTGCTAATTTAGCTTGTGTAATTCTTGCCTTTAAGTGTTTTTCATCAAGCTGTTTTCCACTTTTTTTTTTTTTAAACTATAATGCAATTACAAGTAGACAACAGTGCCAGGTTTTATGCAGTCTTGCACCTGATGAATCAAATTGTGATAATTACGCCTCACCTTTACCTTAATTGTATTGGTTTATCCTTTGTTACTCAGTCACAGAATCATCATGCATGTGTCATTCTGTGGCATTTGGCTCAACTCCAAGTTCACATTTTTAGAATTGCTAGGATCCACATTGTTTAGACCCATGTTGTGCTGTACTTGGCCAGTCTGCCCAGCAATACAGGTCATAAAAAATAACTCATAAAATGATGATTTGTTCAGAGGAAACGATATAAATAGTCATAACCAGATTTAAATGCAAGCCCCTTCATATTTAATGGTAAAGATGAAATGTGCTTTAGGGCAGACACTAACCTTCTCATCTCACCACAGCTGTGTATCCTTGTAGCAAGCGAAGGAAAATTGTGGAGTCTAGTGATGATTTGAGTTCGGTCATGCCAGCTGAATTCATGAGGATATCGTTTATTGTCAGCCTGCTGGGTTGAGACTCGCCTGTTTGTTCCATACACAGCCTTGACATGTCATTTCCCATTATTTTCCCATTACAATAAATGTTGAATCCTGAAGGCAAATAATTAATTATATCTGTGAAATTATTTTCAGTAGACTTTTAATGACATTATTAGTTGTCAGGTGTAAATCCAGCAGCCATTTATTTCTTAAATAGCATGATGGAGCAGAAGAGGAGACGCAGTTATGAATTTTTTTTATCTTGTATTTGAATACTCAGTGGCTTTCAGGCTTTTTGTGTTTATCCTTTTACTGTGTCTTCACAGCGGCTGTCTCCTTGGGTGGGTCTGAGGAAAATCAATGTGTCATACTGGGGTTGGGAGGATATGTCTCCCTTTACCAACAGCACCCTGCATTGGCTGCCTGGTGAGCCCAGTGACTCTGGTTTCTGTGCCTACCTAGAGGAGCCCCAGGTGTCGGGCCTGAGAGCAAATCCATGTACCGCCACTACCCACGGCCTCATTTGTGAAAAAACTACTGGTGAGAGACTTGCATGCAAATGCTACATAAATATCTTACCTCTTTTAGAAGATTTCACATTACACAGGAGCTACAGTATGATTTGTAAAAAAAGAAAGAAAATTCTTTTTTATTTCCTGTTTTTCTGTTATTTTCTGCTCAGGAAACCCCAATCAGAGTTCCCGCCCATCCTGTAAGAAGCCCTGCTCGCTGCACACCAACTGTGCCAACTGCACCAGTCAAGCTATGGAGTGCATGTGGTGCGGCAGTGCACAGCGCTGTGTCGACTCCACTGCATATGTCATCTCTTTTCCCTATGGCCAGTGCCTGGAGTGGCAGACTGGAGATTGTGTGGGTAAGTGTCTTTTACAGAAACTTGATCTAGATGAGGCTTCTTTGAAGTGTGTAGTCTGGCATTAAGGTGGTCAGCAATAAGATTTCCCAGACTCGCTTCTATAAGCAGGCAATATTTATCAGTGACAGGAGGCTATGGGAGGAAAACAGCTTAAAGTAGAAGGTGTCTGTGTCAAAGGCAAAATGGTATTAGTTTACTGTGATTAGCTTTGGAAGTGGTTTTTGGTGTGTAATGGCTAATTAGTCTCACATATAGTGGCCCCCCACTGATTTCCCTGTTGACCAAGCTACAGCTAAGCTCTTCACCATTAGCTGGGTTCAAGTAATTTAAAGACATCAAGGAACAGTTTGAGAGAACTCTTTGTGACTGAGAGGAGAAGATAATTCCAACTAATACAGTATTGCAAATGTAAATGTTTTCATTCTAGTTTTTGAACAAGAATTTAAAGGTGTTGTGTTTTAGCTTCCAGAAATATACAGATTAAATCATCTGAGAAGGTTAAAGAAATGTACTTCAATTGCACACAACTCATAGACGACCCATCCATGACAATCTGTTTCCTACAACCCTTTTGTTGTTATTCCGGCTTCTCTACTCTGTATTTTCAAAGTCAGGTCCGTAAGTTAGCCCTGCCTGCCACCTGGTGAAGGTTATAAGAAGTGCTTTTCTAACTGTGAGTAGTCATTTCAAACAGCCACTCATGCAGGAGCTCTCTGCAGCTAAAATTCCAAAACAGTGGCTGCCAGGATGAGGTGGTGTTTGCACAGAGAGAGTGGCACAAAGAAAGGGCAAAGTAGCTAGAGCTAGGAAACAGGACATGAAATGAGGGGAAAACAGTCGTTAGGAGCGGCTTATGGTGTCAGTTTGTTTTGAGTTTCACTAGACCTTCTAGCAGCTGAAAAGGAATTCACTCTTCATAATACAAACATTACAGAAACCCATTTTTATCTCTTTATGATTATTTCCAAAAGTGAACATGGATACAGACGTAAGTGAAGCCATGAACAGTATTGTGATAAGTTGATCAGAGAGCTCCTTTAGCTGAAGGTCGGTGTAGTTGTTTGGGCTGATGCATGAATTATATCCACAGTTGTGTCAGATGGTAGAAACATCTCTGATCAGTTTAATGAGTAACAAATTTAGGGAGCCCAAGGGTACAGTCTCGAATTCATTTGTGTCTGCTGTTGTTAGGTTACCTAGAGACATCTTGAAGAATTAGTCCCTTTTGGCATGAAGGACAAAGAAGGGTGTCCTATAAATTCTCTCCTTATTTTCTTCTTTTTCTGTTTGTTCTGGCTGACTTTGCTCAGTCACATTCGCTCTCCAAGTCTCAGTCACCACTTCTATGGTGAATTATCTCACCTTCCTTCTCATTTGTAGTGCACAGCGATGTGTGCTTTAAGGCTGCGCACACTGCATAAATGCACTTAACAACCTCAGACATAGGTTAAAATAATCTGTGGTGTTATTGCCTTCTGAGGCACCTTGAAAGGACAGACTGTTGCATTTGTTGCTCTTAGTGGAGACTATTCTAATGTTGCAGATCTGAGGTTCCACAATATTTTATTTGTTGTGATAGTTTGCTCCTTCTTTTAGGGAAAGGCTTTTTCTTTATGGCTTTCTACTTTCTATTTGTCATGAAATTAAGGTCAAGGTAACCCTAACCCATAAAACAGAAAAATATAACTCCAGATTACAGTTTAAGATCACAAATTATAAATGGGTTTTTGAGTTTGTTTGTTTTGCAGTGAGACAGGATGCATTTATAGCCAAGCAACAAAAGCTCCTTGAACAAGTGATGGCTAGTATCAGACAAAACTTCCAATCCAATAATAATAATCCAAAAATGCCTCTACAGCTTTACATCTTACCCGAACAAAGAACCAAACTTTACAATATGGTCATCTGTGAACCATGAACACAACATCTTCTTGATCAGGATGGGTCAGAAAAAGTAAATCCCCTGAAGCTGAATTTAGCTCAGACAGAATTTTAAACATGCAAGGTCGAGTCGACATTCCATTTTCCCCTGTGGCGTTCTTGTTGGTCTTTGATTTAGTCTTTTGTATTAGAACTGACCCGTATGCTCCATACTGCAACACACTGGTTTAAGTTCTGGATATAAGCACATTATATCTCAGCTATTTAAATATTCACATAAGTATTTTGTGTTTAGAAAGAAGATTTCATCATATTTTAAGATGCTCTGGGTTGACAGCATCCTCTGTGCTGAAACAGCAATACTAGAGAAACAGTATCTTACGATGAGGAAAGCTGTTTGGACGTAGTAATAGCAGTAAAGCTACACTTGAAGATGAGAAAGTTCACATATTCGCAGCGTTACTTTGTGATTTAAAGTGACATTTATCTTCTGATGATTGCCGAGTGCAAGACGTATCTGGTTTTGTTCATATTGCTCTCAGATATGCAAAGGCAGATACTGAAGCGGTGAGGTTGTCACTTTGATCAGTGATTTTTCTAGTCACCAGCAAAAAACACTTTGTGATCAGTGAAACATCTGGTGTACACAGATTAAAGTGAACACGGCCACAGGAGATGCTTAACAGCAAAGTGGAGCAATAAAGTGATCGTATAAAATCTGATCTTCTAGAATTTGACCTCGAAAGTCAGATTTTAATGTAAGTTGTAAGTGAACATAAAATTGAAAAGAGACTTGCAGTTAAACTCATTTACATGTTAAAATCCACTTGAAAGCTTCCATAAATAAATTCCGTCCTGTCAGTGCCGTTGAAAGCGCCCGCTCGCTGGTGAAGATTGTTAACACTGAGTGAAGCAATACTTGTTTTGCTCTACAGACCAAGTCACAGTCTCCGAGCTCCAGGCATCAGATTTAGCTGCCCATGTTCACATATATTGATTCATCTGTCAAAGTCCATACGATAGATTTGGTTTTTATGGCAGATTCTGTATTTCAGCATGCTTTTGTGTTGTAGTAAGACAAATGTTCTTGTCCAGCTGCTTCTGTTCTCAATGGTATGTTCCTGAGAAATGCTCCACTTGTATCCCTTCGTCAAAACAAACTTAAATGGCCTCACTTCGTACTGATTGCACTTGCGTTGTCATGGTTTCACATCCATTAGCAGAATAGCAGGAGATTTGTTTGACATAAACTGAAATAAAAGCACTCAATGTTTGTCTCCTTAAAACAGTGGCAACATTTTCTCTCCCCTTAAGTGTCTGTCTGGCAGGAGAGTGTCAGCGCTGAAACTTGTCAAGCAATTTAGTGACCTGAAAGTTCATCCCCCAGCTGACAAAACAGCATCGGTCCCCCGCTCCCTTTCTGAACTTAGAGCAAGGCGCCACTTCACACGTCACATTTTGGCCTTTCATTGAACTTTGCTCAAATCACAAATGTTTCAGTGACTTTGCTTTGCTGACACATTCTCTGTCTCATCCTATCCCCCCCCCACCCCCTTCATTTGCTTAATGCTTGCCACTTGTTTCTTATCTGCTCTCAGATCTGTTCTCTTGACCGTTCACTAGATAAACAGCTTGTGTTTTTGCACAGTGCTCTGTAATCGGCAGAACCTCTAAGAAAATAATGAAATGGTGTAATAGATAGGAGAGCTTCTTGGAACTAGTAATTTTAAGACAAAAAAAAAAGAAAGAATGAATTAGTGTGTTTAAGGGGTTGAAATCTTAGAACATAAAATTCTGAAAGCAATATTCTTTAGCATTGTTTTGATAGAGCATTGCACAATTACTGTTGTTGCTGCTGAATTGTGTATGCTGCTGTTGGTTTCCAATGTGACTGGAAAATAAATGCTAAAATGAAAAGAAATGGACTAACAGAGGAAAGCAGCAGGCACTGAGTTTGACTCTTAGGAGGTTAAATAATTTTGAACTGGGGTCAACGAGGGCAGCCGATATAGATTAAAACACAAGACTTACTGGGAAGAAATATAACACACATCTCCTCTCTCCTTTAGCCCAGAACTGTTCGGGCCTGCGGACGTGTTCCCAGTGTTTGGAGCAGCCTGAGTGCGGCTGGTGTGGAGACCCTAGCAACACAGGAAAGGGCTTGTGCATGGAGGGTTCGTACCGTGGACCTATGAAGAGACTGGCAAAGCAGGGCCAGTCCCAGGACATGAGCCTGGAGCTGGGCAGCTGTCCTAAAGATAAGGGCTATGAGTGGGCCTTCATTCAATGCCCTGGTAAGGGCCCTACTTCCTGTCCATCTTACTGAAATTACAGCTCATGTGTCATAAATATATCTAATTGAGAGGTTGTTATTTCTTATTGATCGTCAGGTCTTAAGTTTAAAAAGACCTTCTTATCAAGGGTTTCTGTTACCGCTTCCCTATGCAACTAATCCCTCCCCAATGACTCCATGCAACCTTATGCTAGTATGCCATTTAATGCTTTCATCAAGTCCCGGTCTATACACCTACGTCATGTAACGTGATAATATACCCACTGTTAGTTGTAATATGAGAACGTGAGGTGTAGTCATTGGCTCAGTGGTAACAATAATATGTAAAAACCTCGAGAAACATTTTGCAAGGTTCATATAGAACTCATAAAAGTGGTTTGGCTTACATTTTACAAGGTGCATTTTGAAAACATTGAATTCTGTTGACTGCCCTAGCAACATGCAAATTTCAGTGGCAGAGGTGGAATGTTATAGCTAATCTCAAAGGGAGTTGTAACAGTCCGCTCTTACTGTGGCAAGAAAACAAACATATTGGAGTTGAACTTGGACCTGAGTCTTGCATAAAATATTTTTTTGTTTTGTTTTTGTTTTTTTTTTAATATATATATTCCTTTCCATTAGATGTTTAATTTTTTATCTCCAATTGGACATTTATATGTAGGTTGCAGTCATTAAAATCCTCTAAAAGGAAAGTGTCATAATTCATACTTAACATGACATGGCAGACACAAGCTACTGACAGTTCTATAAGGTCTGTTATTTTTCTATGAAGCAATAACCAGTCCTAGATGTAATTGGTGTTGGGCTGTAGTTAGAATGACAGGGAGGCTCATCAACACAGAATATTCAAAAAGCACTCTGTGAAACAGGTGCCTGTTTGACTTGCAGATAGATGAAGACTGTGACTGCAATTCACCCTTCTTTTTCCAAATCATTAAAAAAAAATCCATACTAGTTGTACCTCCTAGTGAAACCCACAATGAGGTTACAGTACCTGTGGCAGCCATGACTTGCTCAAGAATTTTTATATTCATTTACTTTCTAAATATATGCTTGAGCATCAGTTGCGGAAAGCTAACGCAGTGAACCTCTCTGTTTCTTTCCCAGCATGCCAGTGTAATGGCCACAGCACGTGTGTGAACGGCAGCGTGTGCGAACAGTGCCGCAACCTCACCACTGGTGCTCACTGCCAGACCTGCATGCCCGGTTACCATGGAGACCCGACCAATGGTGGCAAGTGCCAGGGTAAGTGCTACATCCCCACAGAAAGGAGTCATTCTGCACACTAAAGAGTTAATGAATTCACCTGTTTTTTTTTTATTTGGTGAAGCAATCAGCTGATGTATTTTAACCCCAACCCCTTTAACCTTCTCTCAACCCCCTGTGTACTTTTCATTTCAGTTTACAGATCAGCAATAAGTTTCAACAAATACAGTACAAATGACCTTCATAGTTTATCTTTATTTTTACTAGACTAGCTGTGCTTTGTATAAATGATACTTAAACTACCTATCATCTGCTTATTGAATTTTAAACAAGTTGGTTGCATGTCAAACATATAGTAATACAACATAATACCCAAGGTAAGGTACTACTGTGTTATTAATTAGCACTACTTACAGCTTGACTGTCCTTTTTGATTAATGAAAATATTACTCCAAATGTTTCATAATGTTTAATCAGAGAAGCAACTAAAGGTAAAAAAAGAAGATGTCCAGTCTCTGATGGTGTGTGTTTGAACCTCTAAGTCAGTGAAAGTGGAATGTCAAGATTAACTGTGCTTTTCTGACATTGGAGTGAGTGTACAGCAGATGCAGCACGCTGCAGGATCTGCTGCTGAAACTGAAGGTCAAATACTACTCTCTTGCATTACTGTGGTTTTTCACCAATAAGTCTTGTTGTTTGTTGTTTCTACACTAAGATTAGAAGAAATGGGATATACACACAGCCATGTGTGTACATACAGAGATAAGTTTGCTCAGTGAGGAAGCACCAACATTTTAAAGGCAACTTTATACTAATCTCAACAACTATAATTGTAATAGCTAACAAATGTTCCCAAACAAGTGTTCCTTTTTCCTCTCTATGGGTATAAAACTATTTTGATTGAATTTTGAGCACGTGATGCAGATTTATTAACCGTCTGTCCTGCTCAATGCAGAATAAATTGAGTGACTGCAACCCATTCAGGCAGTTCTGTTTTCAAAGAAAAATCATATACTTAGTGAATTTAAAAAATGGGAATGAACATTAAATGAAATATAAAGTGCCTTTACGTATTTGATAAATGCCCCAGGATGTCTTTTATTTACATGAACTGGAAATGGACTAAAGACTTGTAATACAGCTTCCTTGTCAAGAGGAGATTTACACACACTCTTCCTCCCTGTGAAACATGAATAGCATTCCTGAGAAATTACATGGAGGCTAATCTTTGGCTTGCCAGATGTGGGAGCCACACACACAGTCAAACACAAACACACCTCGGAGCTTTATGATCTCAGGTACCATCGTACAGTATAGGCTATAAATGTAACATGTAAAGTGAAACTGCACAGGTGATTACCTGTTTAGAGGATACTCTTGTATTCCATTTGGAGCCTGGGGAAAAGGCTCAAAGTCATTATGTCCTGTTAGTATATGCAAATATATCCATGCTTTTATGGAGGACAAGGGATCATTGCATGCACTGCTGGTTTTGGTATTTAGCAGAACCTCATATTACATTTGACTTAGTCAAATTAAAACCCTCTATCACCAGCTGTCAATAACAAGAAGTGTAAGAGAAAGTGCTACGACACCATCTTGGGAAATGTGCAAAGAAGGTGGTTTGGGAGGACTGTGTCCACTGACCCTTCTACAATACACCATCTTAAGGCTTAGTGATCTGAAAGGAATAGGTCAGGTTCTTGTCCGGCAAATGCAAACCTGAGAGGATACCACACTAGGAGGCAGTTCAGTCATCTTGCACACACCCGGTGCTGCACTCTTTATATTCCATGCACACATATCTTGCAGGTATCAAAGGGTCCTATTGTATTTTTCTCCATGTGTCAGATCTTTGGGAAATACACTTGTTTACCATCTTACACAGATCAATAGCAATTTCATCTCCGTGTTTTGTACAGCAGAAGATATGTTGGTATTCTAGCTCTACACTGCAGGGCAATGGGAAATGGCTTACAGTTTCCCTGTTGTGCTAGAAAGAGGGAAAAACCACAGTTATTGGTGGTTGGGTTGTGCAGGCTGTGTTTCCTCTGGAGATCATGAACTCAAAGGCTTAAATTAAGGTTGGAAAAGTACATGTACACAAGCACAAACAAAACAAAACCTTTTCTGTATCCACATTTTCTGCAGTGTGTAATGCTAATCACCACTATGGTCTTTGTCCCCCCTGTTCTCTCTCTTTGTTTCACTCTTTCTCTCCCTCAATTTCTTTCCCCTTCCAGCCTGTAAGTGTAATGGTCATGCAAGTGTGTGCCAGGTGCTAACTGGCAAGTGCTTCTGCACCACCAAGGGGATCAAAGGAGACCAGTGCCAGTTGTGAGTACTCCAGCTACACACTCATACCTACAGTACAGCCATGACAAAAACAGAAGTACTCTGCAGCCTTTAAATGGTTGCATACTGTAATTGCCTTAAATTTCAGATTTGCAGTTCATAGTTTTAACTTTTTCAGTACCACATTAAGGCAGGGCCAGTTCTCCAGCCTGTTTTTCTAAAGGCACTGTGCAGCACTGAGGTCAAACGAGAGGTACCCTGTCAATATTCCGGCTGAAATTCAGTGACTTAAGGTAATGTCAATCAAACGTGCATCTCTAGGCTGCCTGTCACTGGACTGGTAATCACCTGGGATGAAACCCTGATGAAATGCTCAGGGCTATTTTAAGGAAGATCTATTTTGACAAGTGAGACAGATACATCTGGGAGGGTGTTATTTGCTGTATATTATATTTTGCATAAATTGTCAACTCAGAAAAAGACATTTGTGATTCTAGTTTTTATGGAGCCAAATGTAGAGCTTCTGTTAGGACCCTGAGTTCCTTGGGGATTTTAAAGACAGAGCCAGAGACATGAAACAAGTCAATCTCTCGTTTGTGTTGATATAATCATACAAAGTGACTGATGGCATAGCAATGAAACAAATTACAGTGTGTTACCCATAGTACTTTATTTTTTAACCAAATATTAACTCTTTCAGAACAAATCCTTAATATTCTAGAAGTAATGGATTAGAAATGACTCAGTGTTATTATCTGTCTGCTTTGTTAGAACAATGTATTTAGTTATTACAAAACTGTCAAAAAAATAAGTAGGTACTTAAATTGAAATGATCTTGATTTGTTTTGGAATTGTGACAGTCTGACTTTCAGTAGCCTTGTCGTTGTAATTATATTTTGCAATTCATATAAGGTGAGGTCATGGTTCACATAGAAAGTGAAACAGCCACTGTAAATGTTCTCATTAAATAATTAAAATGGCCACTATAGTTCATTTAAAATTTCTCTGTGATTTCTGACCACTGGGAGCAGCCCCTATTCTTTCTGACATGAGGCGTGATTGCTATAAAGATTTGGAGGTGTTAGAAAAAACAGAAAACCATCAGTTATCAGCCTGAAACTCCACCTCCAGGACAATTTCTGCTGGCACAGTGGATTCCTTTGGTGTAGGAGGACCATCTCCACTGGGCTGTCTTCTTTCTGACGTGTAAGCAGAAGAAACCCTTATATTTTTAATACCCCTAATGCAGTAAAGAGTTATGAAGGGGTCATTGGCAAACACGAGCGCACATACACTCCCACACACCATGACATGGTTTCGCCTCTCTCTTTGTCTCTAAAATCGCATCTGCTCAGGTTTTTGTCATTTCTTACTTGTTGTTTCATATTTCACAGTTACATGTTTCACATATTTGCAGCCTCTTGACAAAATGTCACTTTAAATGTAGTTGGATTTTAGGTATGTCATAGTGATTCAGAAAAGACATGCTCTTGCTAAAGACAGTGAAGACTTAAGTCAGCTTAAAGTAATGACTCTTAAGGACACCCTGCAGTGTTTTCTTGGAAGCAAACAGTTGTGGGTACACTCAGTTTTCAACATTTTAAAACGTAGACTGTTTTCTGCTGTAGTGTAGTGTTCTTTCCTTTGTTGGTGTATGACCACATTTGTTTGCGCTCACCGAAATAACCTTAGAAAAAATCAACTGGACTTGGATTTCTAGATCGAAGACGTTTCACCTCTCATCCAAGAGGCTTCATCAGTTCTGACTGACTGGTGTTGAGCCGGAGATATTTATCCCCATCAGTGGTGTTTCAGTCCTTAGAAGGCCAACAATGTCCCTTAACGACTGAGTCCTTACAGCCCAGTATCGGTGAGAGTCGTTACCTGTCTTTGAATCCTCCCCTGTCGACTGACGCCTGTTGTTCTGGTGGGCATGTTTGGGCAGAGATCTCAAAACAGGATTGTAGATGGATGAAAAGTTGTGTCTTAGTCCACCACCCCTATTTCTGTGTTGGGCCATGCGTTTGTGAAGCGGCTGCTTGGTTTCACCAATGTACAAGTTGTTACACTCCTGACTACACTTAATTGATGAGGTCTCCTCCATCCACTGTAGTCAGGAGTGTAACGACTTGTACATTGGTGAAACTAAGGAGCCGCTTCACAAACGCATGGCCCAACACAGGGGAGGATCCAAAGGCAGGTAACAACTCTCACCGATGCTGGGCTATAACGACTCAGTCATTAAGGGACATTGTTGGCCTTCTAAGGACTGAAACACCACCGATGGGGATAAATATCTCCGGCTCAACACCAGTCAGTCAGAACTGATGAAGCCTCTTGGATGAGAGGTGAAACGTCTTCGATCTAGAAATCCAAGTCCAGTTGATTTTTTTCTAAGGTTATTTCGGTTTACTATGGCCTGGATGACTGAGAATCTGCACAGATTTGTTTGCGCTGTTGCCACCAATTGTCATCTGTGGACTGGTGAGAAGCCAAGAGGAGGATGTCATTTGTTTTGACAACATACTCGTGCATGTATGCGTGTGTGTACTTGTCACTACAAAACCTGTGAGTTTTGTAGTGACGGAAGCTGAATGAAGTTGGGTGTTGTAGTGATTGTGTTGCTGATTTTTGCACTGCAGACATAACTCAATATCTAGAAAAATGTAAACATTTAATAAAAAAGTAAAGTAATTTTGAGTCATCTGTCTCAACTCATGAATACCAGGTCAAAGTCGAGTCGAATCTTTTACCAGTGTTAGTCAAAAGGTAGTCCTCAAATTTGTGACTTGAGTTTGACTCAAGTCAAGTAATTACTTCAGTCTCTCCCCTTTGCATTTTGCTACTGTGAATGATGGTTGACATAAACTAGTTGTTGAGCATGAATCTTCATGAATTTACTGTTCTAAACCCCTGGTATCTGATGTGCTTTGTTGCAAGCAAACGTTTCAGCACCTTTTACATTTTTTGTGTTAGTCATTTGATTGTAGCCAACAGACCGAAACCTCTGTACTTATCCTGGGCAGTGACAACCACAAAGACAGTGCATCACCTCTAGAGAAAGTAAAGCAAACAAACAGAAGTGCTCAGAATAATGGAAAAGTGGATGGAGGAGACCTCATCAAAACCCAAGTGGTCTCTGTCAACTTGGAAAGTAAATGGATGGCACTTTGTGCTAATGACAGAGTGTCACATTAATTTCTGCTACCAGACGAAATGCAGCGCGGTACAACACAGAGCAACACTCGGATAGCAGGTGGCTAACAGTTAATTCAAACGACTAATTTTCTACTCTATAAAATCAGAGTCGGGGTATCAGAACAAGCCAGGCACTAGTAGCCCAGTTATCGATGTGGCCATACAGCTCTGGAGCCTGTGTTGGGAAGGTTCCTGCATCCCATTACTGATTATTGACTTAAAATTTAGCCAGCAACATAAACCGGAATGTGTTGCTAATTCTGTCCCATTTACAAACTATAATTAGGTTGGTGTTGTCATTATAAAGAACTGTTATTTTAGCAGTGGCTTTAATCGAACAATCAAGATTTATTTTCACATGAATACATAACGTACCCAAGTAATCATGTACTCTGATTGGTGCGTGTATGTACCGATGAACGGTTGAGGTGGGATGTTTGCCGTTCACTTTTTGTAATGTAATTTTTTGTATCTCATTACTTGTAATCAGTGTTTTCCCCAGTGCCTGTCAGCTCCTCACTCACTCACATCATTCCCAGCAGTAGGTCTTAAACAAAGACCTCTACACAAGGGTACTCGGTCTTTTCAGCAATGTACACAAAAGCGCACACATGCACACTTTCACACATGCATACACTGCAACCACTGACACCATTAGGATCTTGGAATAATGGCTGCAGCTATCAAATGAGGGGTGCATCAGTGCAGAATGGAATTATTTTTGAAAACAATTGCTGAGCTCCATGCTGTGTTACAGTGATGAATCCAGCATGAGCGGTGAGGGAAATGTTTCCTGTTATATCATTTGGATGCATATATTATTCAGGATTCTTATTGTGCTGGAGGTAACAGCAGGTAGGTAGCTAGAGTGTGGGCCTGCACGTGTGAAGGGCATTGTTTGGGTTCATAACACATTTGTTCTGTTTGTGTGTGTGTTTTGTCTGTTTAAATCAGAATGTTTACTGGCATAGGCAAAGGTTCAAGTTGGGTATAGAGCAAAATTTGATACTGTGTGTGTGTGTGTGTGTGGGGGGGGGGGGCCGGGGCGGCGGGTGGGTG